GCCCAGGCCCATGGCTGCCACCTGGTGCTGTGTGAGTTTGAATATGTCACCGCCTCTCTTTGTGCCTCAGTTTCTCCATCTGGAAAATGGAGGTGATAATTGCATGTCCCTCCTGGGGGAGTTTCGAAGATGAGATGAGTCAGTGGAGGCGAAACCTGCAGCCTGACATAGTCAAAGGAATGACTAAGTATTAACTATTGGAATGTACCATTGCATCCAGTGTGGCCTTGTCAAGCCTCTCAGGCGCTTCAGTTGCAGCCCCTCACTCCCATCTCACGTCTCCGGGCTGTGTGACCTCCCTGGCACCTGGCACAGCCTGAAGCGATATTCCTGGTTTATCTGCTTCCTTGTTCCTTGCCTGTCGCTTCCCCATGAGGACAGCAGTGCCACGAGGGCAGGGGATTTTGCCCATCTCGGTCGGTCCCTGCTGTGTTCTCCCAGGCATCTGGCACCCAGGAGGTGCGCAGCAGTCAGTTTGCCCAGTGATCACAGGAAACGGCAGTGCAGTTCAGCTCCAGGTTATCAATGAGGCCATAGAGGCTCCGGGATGTCAAAGTACTTGCAGGAAGACACAGCGGGAGACTTTCAACAAAGTAATTGTTTCAGACCTGGTAGGTCGCCTGCAGTGTCTCTCTCATATTCTTCTTTCTCTTTTTACAACACTTTAAAATTGTACAGGAGCCCTTTTTTTCCCCATTATTGCCTTCCCCGAAGAGTGCTTTTAGATGTTTTTTTCCCCAATCACTCCGAATCATGAAATTTTAATAACACAGATGATATATATACATATATATTTATGTACTATATATATGTATATATGTGTGTGTATATATATATCTACGTTTTATACATCAAAAGAGCAAAATTTTTAGCCCCCTCCATCCCCCCAAGAACCAGTTATTGCCCCCACTGAGAATGGATGGATCTAGACCAAGATTTCTCCTCCTCGGCACTGCTGACATTGGGGCAGGGTCGCTCTCTGGGGAATCACCCCGGGCACTGTGGGGTGTGGAGCAGCCTCCCTGGCCCCCACCCAAAGCCAGGAGCCCCCTAGTCATGATGGCCACAGATGTCCCCAGACATCATTTTGGGGGCAGGATCGCCCCAGTTAAGAACCTCTGTGCTAGGCAGACAGCTTCTTCGACTGGACATCAGCTTTGGGATATAGACTCTCTGAGCTGGGCCTCAGTTTACCAACCTCATCAATTGGGTAGATTTAATCATCTCGTGCCAGGAAGCTCTTAAAACAGTGAAAACTCAGCAAATGAAAGCTGCCTGCTTGGGGGATGGGGCGTCCTGGGGCGTTGGACATTAGCCAGCTTCTGGCATTGTCCACTCGGGGTATCTGTTCAGACCAAAGGAAGGTCCATTTTAGGGCTGGGTCTTTAAGTAGATGGAAGGAGAAAGAATTATCTGTGTCCTTTCTTTCTTTTTTTTTTTTCCTGCTTTTTCATGGAAACACCCAGAGCGGTTCAGCCCAGTAGAACTTTCTGTGATGATAGCATAATTGGCACTGTCCAGTTTGATAGCCACCAGCCACGTGTGACTGTCGAGTATTGAAAGGTGACTGGTATGAATGCAGTCCTGAAATTTTAATTCAGTTTCAGTTGGGCCAATTTAAATTTCAAGTCTCGTGGCTGGGGACTCCTATCCTGGATAGTTCTATAAGACGGGAAGTTCTCAGGAGCCAAATGACAGGCAAGTGGTCAGCAGGTAGTTGAGAAGTATTTCAAAGTTTTAGAGATGATTAGATAGAAGATGGCACAAGAAAAAGAAAGGAGATTGTGACACCTGCTCCAATGTGGACAAACCTTGAGGATGTGATTCTCAGTGAGAGAACCAGACACAGCAGGACACATACTCTCTGAGTCTACTCACAGGAGAACCTAGAGAAGTCACATCCACAGAGACAGAAAGTAGATGGTGGGGGCCAGGGGCTGGGGAGGGTGGGGAGTCAGTGTTTCATGGGGGCAGAGTCTCAGCTTGGGAAGATGAGAAAGTTCTGAAAATGGAGGGTGAGGATGGTTGCATGACAATGTGAATGTGCTTAATGCCACTAAACTACACTTAGAAATGGTTAAATGGTAAATTTTATGTGTATTTCAACACCACTAAAAATCAAGTTAAAAAAATTTCATGAGATGGCATATAGTTACAGCATCATATTATATAGAAACTACACTTATTTAAATTTAAAAAGACCCTAGGAGTATAGAAAAAAAGGGAGAGTTTGTTTAGCCCAATAAAGGGATCTGCTGAAACCCACAGCTAACATCATTCTCAGTAGTGAGAAACTGGATGTGTTCCCCTGAAGATCAGAAGCAAGGCAAGGACACTTGCTCTCATCACTTCCAGTCGACATGGTTCTGGAGGTCCTAGCCAGTGCAATAAGGCAAGAAAAGGAACTCAGAGGCATACAGATTGGAAAGGAAGAAATAAATCTAGCCCTACTTGCAAATGACATAGAAAACCCCAAGGAATCTACCAAAAAAAAAAATTCTTAGAGCTCATACATGAGTTCAGTAAGTTTGCAGAATGCAGGATTAACAACCCCAAACCAATCAAATTTTTACATGCTGGCAGCGAACAACTAGAAACCTAAATTAAAAACACAGTCTCATTTATAATCACTCCCCAAACCCGCCGCATATTAAAATGTTGATTTGGTGCCAACCCTTTTACATTTGCTATTAGCTGACTTGGAGACTGGACAAACCCTGAGTGGGTTTTATTATATTCCTATTTTACAGGTGAGGAAACTGAGGCTCAGACGAGTGGTATGGCTGGCCTGAGGTCACAGAACAATGGACAAGGCTCCAAACTAGAGCCAGCTACAGCCTAGGGCTGTGGCTTTCTGTCCCCACAAAGTAAGAGCACCCAAGACAGAAACAACAATGAAAATAGTAACAATAGTAATAAAATTCTCCCTCCGGTTGGTGAAATGCTGACTGTACCAGCCACTGTTTGGGGCACGTGATTGCATTCACCATCAGCTTTTCTCTCACCACCAGCCTCTGAGGGAGGTGCTATAGTTGTGCCCGTTTCACAGATGGGGAGTGAGGCACAGGGAGAGACGAGGCAGTGTGTCTGAGGCCTGCAGCCTCATCTGCCTGGTTCCAGAGTGCAAGCTGCCTGGTTCCTAGGCGGTGCTCAGGAAACATCCCCCTTCTCGGGTAAGCACCTGGGTGCCATCCCGGCACTGCCGCCCGCCGAGTCCGTGTGGGCACCAGTTCCGGAAGAGGGTCTGTGCCCGAGGCCTGGAGCCCGACGGCTGGCTGCCCAGGCTGGGCTCTTCCCAACGGCGTGGCCACCCGTGCCCAGCTGTGCGGCCATCCGAGCTGGACGGGCCGGCTCCAAGGGGCTGCTGGCTGCCCAGCCCGGGAGCGG